ATCTTGAACTCGTGAGCTCAGGCAATCCACCCGCCTTGGCCTCCCAGAAAGCTAGCATTACAGTCGTGAACCACCAAGCCGGGCTTAACATTATATTCTTAAATTAATCATGTATAAAATATATGCTATATAATCCTACATTTTTAAAAAATGTGTAACTACCTGTATACACATAATTGAAAGTCTGGAATTACACACTAAATTGCTAGAAGTTACTACTTCTATGGAGATTCAGGATAAGAAACATTATTAGTACCTTGTTAATTTCTGTATTTCTCAAGTTTTGTGATGAGAAGTACAAATGTATAAAAGTCTCTCAAAATTAACACTCTCTCCTCTCCAAAAAAAAAACCCTAATTCCTGATGGCACTTGATACCTATTAGCCACTCAACACATCAACCCTAAGCTCTCAACTAGGCTGCTTCATGTCTCATACACCTAGAGACCTTAGAGCTTCACAGTGTGACTATTCTGTTCCCAACACATCCTGAAGCTTGTCATTTCTGTGCTTCTGTTTAGGTTTTCCTTTGAATTGGGAATGCTCCTTAGTGCCTGTGTCTCCTTCCTCCTGCAGTCAGCAGACCATTTGCCATCCTGCCACCATACACAGGCACACACACACAGAGCCCTGCCACAATGCTCTCCATTCTTAAGGCTACAACCAAATACCCTTCTTTATAAGGCCTTTCCCAATCTCCTAGTCAAAACTAAATGCTTCTTGACTACAAGCACATAATGTTTATATTTCACTTATGGTACTAACCATCATGTCTGACATTAAGATTCTTTTGAGCAGAAGCCAGGACAGTCACCTCTGTCTTCCTAAATACCTAACCCAGGGCCTCTGAGGTGGCAGGGCTTCTCAAATAGAAACACAAGATGATTACACTTTGTAAAAAAATTAAATGATCAGAAGAAAAACCACAGTAAATCACTGTTTGGCTGTCCCTGTTCCGGGTTGCCACAGCAATTCTGACAACCCAAAGCCAGCATTATCTGTCTGCTGTTGATCACTGCCTCCTCATGGAAAGTACTGTGTAGGTTCACTTTTGTTTAATAAAGCTGTTCTCAAGAATACAATAATGGTTCTAGAATTTGACTCAACTATTACTTCATTTCTCCAGAAATTCCTTCAGATTAAACACTGCCTGAGAACACAGCTTTGGTATCAGACAGACCTGGCTTAGTCTCAACTCAGTTTCCTTAGGAAAGCTATTTAACCTCTAAGCCTGTATTTCCCGGTGTTATTTTAGAGTATTTCAATCCCACTTTTTAGTTTCTGGCCGGGGCTGGGTTTGAACCCACCACCTCTGGCATATGGGGCCAGCACCCTACTCCTTTGAGCCACAGGCACCACCCTTCAATCCCACTTTTTAAAAATGGAATTTTTTTTACATAGCTTTAATGAGGCACAAACATACATACATATAATGTTGTGTTTCTTCCCTTAAGTTTATCTCATAAGCATTTTCCACGTAATCACAGTATATTCTCTTCACAAGCTCTGGGTTTTTTACAGAGATGGGTTCTTACTATGTTGCCCAGGCTGGACTCAATTCCTGGGCCCAAGTAATCCTCCCACCTCAGCCTCCAGAGTAGCTAAGATTACAAGTGTGCACCAAGAAGCACTATTTTTAATGGCCCCAGACTAGTCTAAGAAATATATTTCCCATTGTTTACCTAAATCCTCCCCCTTTTCTTCCACGCTGAAATGGTTTACTGTTGTTACCAGAGTTAAAAGTAATGAAGACCTGAGATTGCTAACTGAGTTAGTTCCAAACTGCTTTCCTGTAAGTGATTACTGTACTCTTTGAGAGGTTTTTTTCCTAAAGAGCCTGCTCTATGCTCCAAATGAAAACAAACATCCCAGAAGCTCTCCCTTCATCAACTCTACACCCTTTTATCCTCAAGAAGCTTTAGGAAGAGACCGTTTCAAAGTGTGCTACTTGTAAGCTCTGTACTGAATGTTTAATTGTATCTCATCTAATCCTTAGAACTCAAGTTTTAAGATTTCAGAAACCATCTAGGCCTACTTTCATTCATTCATTCAAGGAGTAGCGGTGAGTGCTTACAAAGTACGAAGCACTAGTAACACAACACTAAGCCAAATAGAGCTCCCTCAAGAGCAGTCACTCTACCTCCAAGCTTACTCCAAACCTTAAAAAGTAGCCACTCCATTTCTGGACTAGTATGATAATAAAACCTCCCAATGGCTTCCATTGCACTTCAAATAAAATCCAAATTCTTTTCCCTGGCCCACAAAGCCTCACATTGGCTGGCTTTGCCTACCTCTCCAATACTATCCCCTACCACACAGCCCTTATCTACTAAGCCTGAGGCACCTCTCAAACATTCTAGCTTTCTCTACCTGAGGATTCTCACATGCTTCACTCCTGGACTGAACTTTCCCTCTACTCATCAAAAATGTCTAGCCCCTTCCTATCTTTTAGGTCTTACCTTAAATGTCACTTCTTCCTGGTCTTCCTCAGTCACTCCATCTAAAACAGGTTCTCCAATATTTCCCTACACTTTTAGTTCACTTCTTTCATAGTACTTACCATGCACTATCTGTTTTATTTGTTGCTTTTCTCTCCCTACTTGAGATAAGGTTTGGTTTGCCCCTGGATCTTCAAGAGCTGCTACAGTGTCACTGGGCAGAATACACAGCAAATAAACTGTGGGCTGGATGAATAAAATGTTTTTCCTTGAGCTGGAATGAAATCTAATTTCTTAAAATTTCCATCTATTGATCCTAATTTTACCATCTATAAATACATTAGGTAAAAGAATACTCTGTGTACCATACTTTAATAAAGTACATTTTTAAACCATTCTTTTAGTAGCTCTAGCATTCACCTGTTTTTAGAAACTGCTACCCTTGCTGACTTCAGATAGCTGGGGTTTGAGGTGGTGGGGGTGTTTTTGTTTTCTGAGTCAGAGTCTCATTCTATTGCCCTGGGTAAAGTGCCATGGCATCAGGCCTCACAGCAACCTCAAACTTTTGGACTCAAGAGATCCTCTTGCCTCAGCCTCCCGAGTAGCTGGGACTACAGGTGCCCGCCACAATGCTGGCAAGTTTTTCTATTTTTAAAGGAGATAGGTCTCACTCTTAGCTCAGGCTGGTCTCAAACTCCTCAGCTCAAGGGATCCTCCTGCCTCAGCCTCCCACAGCGCCAGGATAGATAGTGTTAAGAGATCAGAGATAGTTTTAAGGAGGAGTTAAGGGTATGGACTCTAAGGTTACACCACCTGGGTTAGATTATGAGCCACTCACCAAATGGATCTCACTTGTGTGAATTTGGACAGATTAACTAACCTCTCCGTATACCAGATCTCTCCTTTGGAAAAGTAGAACAAAAGTTCAATTTGTGAGAATTAAGTGGAATGTATGTAAAGAGCTTACCCCAGTTCCTGGCACAGGGATTTCAGTTGACAAAACTACTGCTATCTCACCAGTTAGACAAGAAAGCTCCTTCAAAGTGGTATCGTATTTGTTTATATCTCTAAGACCTGGCTTATATTAGTCTCAACAAACCTAGATTTAAAGCCATCATCCCACAAGTCTGGCTAAGGTACCCAGCCCTGCCATTCAGATATTCCCTTAACAACTTGCACTCAGGCTACCTGTCATTTATCCCAACAGACATTTTACCATTCTGTCATCAACACCTGCCCAGTCTGTCTTGTTCACCATGTTATCGCCAATATCTGCAATACCAAACATTGGATAATTAAGTGGATAAATGCCTCTGGACATTTATCACTTAAGGTAACTTACCAGTTACCCTCTAAGAGATATTTACAAACATATTTGTTTACTGTCTACTTTTGCCAATGGAAAGGTAAGCTGCCCATCTCTATCTTGTTCCTGTGCAATGAAAATGCGATCAGCCGGGATGGCACCTTTGGTTCAGTGAGTAGGGAGCCAGCCCTATACACTGAGGGTGCAGGTTCAAACGTGGCCTGGCCAAACTGCAACAAAAAATAGCTGGGCGTTGTGGCAGGTGCCTGTGGCCCCAGCTACTCAGGAGACTGAGGCAGAGAACCACCTAAACCCATGAGCTGGAGGTTGCTGTGAGCTGTGACAGGACAGCACTCTACCAAGGGCGACAAAGTGAGACTCTGTCTCAAAAGAAAAAGAAAAGAAAATGTAATCAGCCAATCTCTGTCTTGTCCACTGCTATATCTAGCATCCCCTACTTGGCCTCCTACAATTATTTGTTAAAGAACTTTTTTATTCTTGCTTTTTTTAAAATGTTAAAATATGTTGATTATCGTAGTTTTCTACAGAATTAAATACTAAGCCAGTCTACTGATTCCATATCGCTATTGATCCCCTACTTGGCCTCCTACAATTATTTGTTAAAGAACTTTTTTATTCTTGCTTTTTTTAAAATGTTGAAATATGTTGATTATCGTAGTTTTCTACAGAATTAAATACTAAGCCAGTCTACTGATTCCATATCGCTATTGATGAGCTATTTCGGCTCATCAGTATTTCCCCAAAGCTCACGCTTAACAGAGAAAAAGAAAATTATATATTGAATGAACAGATATATAATTTTCTAAAACTGAAAAAAGATAAGCAAAAAGACAACCAAAGTCTTGGACAGAGGGGCTGTGAGTGATCTGAGCAAGGATTATTTTGTCACACGTATATCCTTAATTCCAAAATTCTGGAGTGGTTATAGTTTATAATGCAAGAGTGACTACAGGGTATAGCAGAAGCTCTTTCGTGAGTAAATGTGCGTGCCTAAAACAATGAGTCAAAGACCCCTCGCTCCCCAGCTCTCTCTTACACCTATTTGGGGCAGAAAAGGCCTTGAGACCAGGCCCGGCAGCGTCCTTGGGATTCCAGCGCTCCAGACCTGGCTGCGGGTTATCCGAAGATTGTCTAGTGCGTAAAACCGGAAAAAAGCACCAGCGCAGAGAAGCCCCCACGGCCTCCAGTGCCGGAATTCGGAACTCCGAGAAGCCCACCCCACTGCCCCGCACTCACCACCAGCGAGGCCATGAACCCCGGCCGGTCCATGGCCTAGCAGACCTACTCAAAGCTATAATTCAAGATTAAGCAGGAGTGAGTCATAGCACTGCGCGATGGACGCCGCCATCTTGGAGGAGGAGCCTGCGGCGCCTTGCTCTCGGGATCACGTGACTTTGAACCACAACAACGGCACGTGGAGCTCGCAGAGGCAGGCCGGAACAACGGCCGGCGAGGGGGGGCGGGGCTTGCGGTGTGTGAACGAGCGAAATCTCGCGTCTCTTCGCTGACACTGTTTTCTGTAGCAGCCAGAAGGAGGAACTCTCGCGAGCATGAGCCTCGTTTGGTATCCAGGAGCGGAACGCTCTGCCCGGAGCGTTGGATTTCTAAGTTGTAAAACCGGAAGGGAAGAGCGTGAAGGAGCTGGACTGACTTCAGGAGCCCAAGTTGTGGTTTTTTATTATTCGGAGTCCAAATCAGTTATTTTTTTTTAACTTTCTTAGTTATTATGTCAAAACATTCATATTCTACTCATAGAAAGATTCACTTGTACCCTTGCAAGATGAACCACAGAAGTGAACCCTCGAATCCCTCTCCCTCCCCCCTCTCCCCCCTCCCAGTTATTTTATTTTTGCTTATCTCTTTAACAGTGCAAATTTTGTCTGATTTTCTATTTTAATTAACTCATCAGAAGGGTATTAAATATATAGAAAAATACTTAAGTTTCCTTATTTGAGCTAAAAATTAGGATCCCCCACTTCTTACAAGCACTTATGACAGTTAAAATGATTACTTGTTCAATTATTTGTCTTCGCTGCTGCACCCGTGTGTACACCTTACAGCTCACGTTAAGTACTTAAAAATCTCTTGGAGGGGAGATTTATATTTGTTACTTATCTTCCAGTCTTCCATATAACTGTATATTAAGGGCAAACTACATCTCAAATGTCGTGCTAGATGGTTGACATTTTCTCATTTAATTCTCACAACAACCCTGTGATATCAGCACTACCATCATCTTCACTTTTAGAGTATCCTCATGCTCCAACAAGTAACCAAAACCCAAAGCAACAGTGAAGATAGCAGAGCCAAGCATTGAAAGTTTAATCCCTTCATCATCTTTCCTCAGAAGCCCAGCAGTAGTCTTAGAAAACTTCACTGCAATCTATCTTCTGTAACACTGCTAGAATTATTCTTAGAATTCTTCTTACTCTCATCTATTAATAGATAATATGATCTAGTAGGCTCGGTGCACATAGCACAGTGGTTACAGCGCCAGCCACATACACTGAAGTTGGCGAGTTGGAACCCGGCCCTGGCCAGCTAAATAACAATGACAGCTGCAACAACAACAAAAAATAGCCCGCATTGTGCAGGAGGGCCTGCAGTCCCAGGTACTTGGGAGGCTAAGGCAAGAGAATCGCCTAAGCCCAAGAGTTTGAGTTTGCTGTGAGCTGTGATGCCATGGCACTCTACTAAGGGTGACATAGTGAAACTTTGTCTCAAAAAAAAATATATAGATAGATAATATGATCTAGAAATGATTAGCCAAATAGTCTTCGGTGTTAGATGGGATTCAAATTCTGAGCTATCATCCATCTACTCTGGTTTGGACATAGCTTCTCTAAGATTGAGTTTTCTCCACTATAAAATGTGAAGTTGATAGTAACTTTTCCATGTGAAACTATTACAGATTAAATAAGACAATAAATTCTAGTTCTTAGCCTAGTTCTTGGCTCCTAGGAAATACTCTCTAAAAATTACAGTAATGTCACTTACCTACCTACTTTAAATAATTCTCTTTCGCTGCCCAAGGGAGAAAGTTAAGCTCTTAGCATGGTACACAACTCTAGCTGAGTCAGCTAGCGTCTGCTGTCACTCTTCCCACTGAATAGACTACTCACAGACGGATTACACTTTCAAGCCGCCCCATTTTGTTCCCTCTACTCAGAATACTTCTCCCTATGTTAACATCAGTTACATCAGAACATCAGTTTTCTCTTGTCAGCCATGTGGGCCGCTCCATAGACCCTTTCAAAACATGCTAGTTCACTCTCTCCAGGTTAGCAGGAGAATCTCTGCTGCTGCTGTTTGACTCTTTTAAGGGCTCATATGATTTGATCAGGTCCACCCAGGATAATCTCCCTAGTAATTAACTCAAAGTAAATTGATATGAGTGCTCCAAAGGCTCTCGTGCCATATACTATGACACAATCATGGTAGTAATGTTCCATCATACTGGTTCTGCTTATGCTCAAGGGAGTGATTACGTAAAATATGTACATTAGGGGATAGGAATCTTGAAGGCCATATTAGAATTCTGCCTACCACATTTTCCTGTAAGCCTTCATTGTCTGCCTCCTCAAAGAAGGATTATTTATTTTATCAATAATCTTTCACTAACATTCCACTTTCATCTATTGCTGGATACCAAAGACACTCCTACAGTTTACAGAATCACTTCATTTCCAAGTACCAAAATTGATATTGTTTACTCCTGCATAACAAATTACCTGAAAATTTAGTAGTATAACACAACAATACATTTTTATTATGTTGCATAGTTATGTGGTTAAAAATTTAGGAGTATTTTAGCTGGGTATTTCAGATTCAGGGTTTCTCATGAGGTTATAATCAAGATGTTGGCCAGGGCTATATCACAAGACTGATCTGGGACTGGAGTATCCATTGCCTTCTATGACTGGCAAATTAGTGCTAACTACTGGTAGGTGACCTAAGTTCCTCACCACGTGGACCCTTCCATACTGCTTGAATGTTCTCATGATGTGGCGGTTGGTTTTTCCCAAAATAAGTGATCTAAGGGAGAACAAATAGAAACTACAGTCTTTTTTTTTTTTTTGAAATAGAGTCCCTGTTGGCCTGGGCAGAATGCCGTGGCATCATAGCTCACGGCAACCTCAAACTCCTGAGCTCAAGCAGTCGTCTTGCCTCAGCCTCCCATGTAGCTGGGACTATAGGAGTGTACAACCACACCTGACTATTTTTTCCTGTTTTGGGTAGAAATGGTGATCAGGCTCTTCTCAGGCTGATCTCGAATTCCTGAGCCTGAGCAATTCACCCACCTCAGCCTCCGAGAGTGCTAGGATTATAGGTGTGAGCCACCTCAACCAGCCCAGAAACTAGTCTTTTATGACCTGGCCTCAAAAGTCACTCAGTTGCTATACTACCCACAGTAGCCTTTTGGTTACATGGGTTACCCATATTTATTATGGGTTTGAACTACACAAAGGCATGAATACAAGGAGGTGAGGATTACTGGGTGCCATCTTTAAAACAGACTACTACACTGGGGAAGTGCAAGTGAAAACCTCAATGAGATACAATTACACAGTCACTAGAGAGAACAAAAAGACCAAGTGTTGTCAAGAATGAAGAACAACTGGAACCCTCATTTGTTGCTGTTGAGAATTTAATATGGTACGATCACTGTAAAATCCAATGCCTCTCTTAGGTATTTACCCAAGAGAAATAAACATATGTTCATGCAGAAACTTCTATGGTATTGTTCAAAGCAGCTATAGGCAAGCAATAGAAACAACTCAATGTCCATCAACTGGTAAATAGACAAACATATTGTGATGCATACTTGGAATGGAATACACGAGTATTACCCAGCGATAAAAATAAATGACTTCCTGATACATTCAACAACAAGGATTGATCCCAAAGCATTATGCTAAGTGATCCCCCTTATATGAAATTCTAGAAAAGAAAATTTTTGCAACAGAAAGTATATCAGTAGTTTCCAGGGGCCAGAATGGAGACAAAAGATGGACTACAAAGATGGACTACAAAAGATGGACTAATGAAGATATTCTCTGTCATTATTATGCTGGTAGTTGCATGCGTGTATACATTTACCAATATACATTGATTGTACATAACTTGTATTTCAATAAAGTTGATTGAAATATGCGTAACTCACAAAATGACAAGGATTAAATAATATATGCATGGAAATTATTTAGCCCAATTTTTGGCATATAGAAAATATTAAGTTTATTCTGTATTTTCCTTTTTAAGTTATAGATTCTGAATTTTATGAATGAGAGACTGAGAAGTTATCAAGATGGTAAGTACTTGTATACTTATTAATGTTTCTAGAGGCATTAAATACAATTCCTCTGCTAAGAGAAAATTCAACCTAGACTTACAGTTTTGATTAATACATCTCTTGATGTAAAATTTAATTTAAAAAATTATGTTCTTCTTCCATGTAATGATTGTCTTTAAGTTTTTAAAAAGAAATTATGTTGATGTCATTTTCTGGTAACCTGGAAAAAAATATAATTGATCACATGCCTTTCAGAATCTCTGCTTTCATGCACAGGTAAAAAGCTTTACCAGGCATTTCATGATGCCACTGGAAGTCTTTTAGGCAATACAGATATTAGACATACAACGTGAGGCCTTCTTTTCATGAAATCCTAGCAGGAAGATTAGTAACTATTTGTGCATGCTTTTTAAATGTAGAATTTCAATGCATCATCATTATCACCACATTGCAGGCAGCATATGTTCTCAAATCTTTCATTTTAAAAGATACAGGCAATGTGGTAAGTGCTGATTTACATTATACTTGTGACACCATAATAGTAATATTGTCTTTCTCCCTTAGATCTACCACTGCAAGTCACGTTTACTTTTAAACAAGCTTTAAAATCTTAATAGTATTAGAGGTCTAAGACCTAAATCAAAAACTATTAGGCCTGACTAACAGAAAAACAAGGACACAGGACTTCTTCAACCTGGACTAGGCTCAAGCTCCAAGCTCCTGTTAACTTATTATTATTGGAAAATAAGATAATAGTCAGTAATCTGAATGTGTCCCCCAAAATTCATATGTTGAAATTGAAACTACCAATGTAATAAACAGTATTGAGAGGTAGCAGGTGGGTGTGTAATGGCTGGTGGCTCGTGACCGTAATCCTAGCATCTGAGAGGCCAAGGCAGATGGATCCCTTGAGCTCAGGATTTCCAGAACAGACTGAGCAAGAGGGAGACCCCCTATCTACTAAAAACAGAAAAACCAGGTAGGTGTGGTGGCACATGCCTGTAGTTCTAGCTACTCGGTGGGTTAGGCAAGAGGATAGCTTGAGCCCAAGAGTTTGAGGTTGCTATGAGTTATGACAACAGGGCATTGTACCCAGGGAAACAGAGCAAGACTCTGTCTCAAA